ATAATTTTCATGTAGTCAAAATTAACCTTTACTGAATCTAAAAATACTCTTTAAATTAATAATTATTAATTTATAAATTAAATAATATCTTTACAATATAATAATATTGTGGTTCCACCTAAGAGTGTCAATGGTACGGTCCGGTCGGTTATTTTTTTAAAAATTATATCATCTCAATTTTTTGGTTATATTATAATATAAAACATAAATTAGATTTTTTAAAACCATCCCAATCATATCGGTTTCTCTTCGGTATCGATACGGTTCGGTTAATTTTCCTTTTTTTACTTTTAAAATATTACTTCAAAATATACTACTATGAAAATATTTCTTTCGCAAATATGTTCTTCAAGAAACACTTTAATTCTTCATCAAGAAGAAAATAATGTAAAACCTTGTTGCCATTTTGTTTGATCTTAAGAATTAATAGGCGTGTTTGTATAGGTTTTGTTGTATTGTTTGATAGAGTATCTATTACAATATCTTTTAATTTTAAACTTAATTAAGTTAAGATTAAATTAAAGAGCAAAGACTCAAAGTTGTCTAGTCAGCAGAGGCCTAGGACCTACGTTATATTTAGAATATAAATATGATCCGATGCATATCATCATTCTCGAACTTTTTTATGTACCTACACTTAGAATATCTTTAATTTTTCTCTTATCATTAATCAATTTTGGAGTAGTGACACCACTAACAAAGACCACTATAGCTTGAACTTTGTAGAATATCCTTTCTCTCAAAGAACATGTATGTACACCATTGAAATATCTCACTCTAAATACATCATAGTTTATCCTACAAGATGCTTTTATAGTCCAAGCACAGTCCTCTGAGTAACATTTTAAGACAGCTGCACTATTTGTTTAGCGCAATGTATATCATATTCAACAAATTTTAAATTTTATTATATGTAGATTATACATATTAATGACTACAGTGTAATGTATCCTTCACAAATATAAATGTTATGGACAACACGTACATGTATACTGTTTTTTATACAAACTACTGTATTTTAAAAATAGAATAAGACGCAAAAATAATAATATACCATGCGCAATTTTATGGGTATGGTACATATATGTATCTGATATATATATATATATATATAAACTACCACATAATAATGTATCGACCACAAATCAAACATCTTATGTGCAACAATTACATATTCAATGTATCTACTAAAAATATAGTACTTATCAATTAAAATAAAATATATAAACAGTAATGCATCATGATAAATCTATCCATCTAGAAAACACAACCTAAAAAATGATTACGCAACACAATACATATAATTTCATACTTTTTGTTATCAGATCTTTACTCTGAAATTAAAGGTTTGCTCTATTTTATATTTTGTCATTATAGTGACGAGCGTTCCTTTATCCTTATATAATTATTTCTCCTTCACCTCTGCATTATTTGTATTAGTTATGTAGTTTGACTTTCAATTTAGGTAAATTTGACTTAACCACAGTAAGAGTATGGGCATCCTTATCGGCACCTTTGACACAAACAATGTCATCAAATGCTGCATCAAAGAAATTTATATCACCAGCCTCTTTATCTATTGTGTGGTCCGTGGTTGGCCTGCCTAGCACTGGTATGAGGGCCAAGAACCACGACCTGACCAATGGACCGTTGGTCAGACCACGGTCTGTGGTTGGGGGTTCGTGGTTTGAAGCCCCAAAAGCACATTTTTTGACCATGAATGATGGTCCACCAAGATGGGCCGCGGGTCAGACCACGGTCCGTTGACTCCTCTCCAAATATTCTCTCTAGAAACTTGAAGAAGAAGAAGAAGAAAAGGATTCACGTAGGGTTTCAAGCTAAGGTTCCAATTCCTCCATTGAAGGCTAGCATTTGGACTCAAGGTATGATAGTTTTCATCTATGAATTCATTCCATTCATAGAGTTCCCAAATTCCTCTATTTCAAAGTTAGATTTTCCTAATTGAGTTAGGGTTTTCTTCAATTATGATGGGTTCTCTTCAATGTTGAATTAAATGATTGAATTATGATCTCTTATGCATGAATTGATGATACATGATGATCTTTATGATGATTTCCACTATGAACCAATGTAATCCCCATGTTTTCAAGTTATGAATGATATGATGTGGAGTTTTTTATCTTCAAGGAAGAATTTTATGAAATTGAGCATGTATTGCAAGCTTTACATGTATTTATGATGAAATTCATATCTAACCCATGTTTTTAAAATGTTGATTATTGAAAGTGGGTTTTGACCTCAAGAGGTAAATTATGGAATTGTGCATTTTCTTATGAAAACTATGCAAATGTTTTAAGGGTGCTTTGAGAGTAAAGTACTAATGATGATGTTGTGTTGTGAAAGGATACTCTCACTAAAACACATAATAGCATGATGTGAAAGGTTTTCTCACATAGAAAGGGTTCTTAGGTCGAAATGCTTTCTCACCTAATTGAATCAAAGACAAGGAGCTATCTTAATGAAAGTAGCTTGAATTGGTTGTCCAAGGGCACCTTTTCATGAGTAATGAAGTCAAGTAAGAAATGACTATTCCGTGAGAATTTATGCTTAGCACCGAGTGGATATTGATAGTGAGATGGAAGCTCTCCCGTAGTAGAGGTCGGGTTTCCAAAGTAATCTCATGAGATGGAAGCTCCCCCGTTAGTAGAGGTCAGGTTTCTAGTAGCAATCTCCTTATCCCATAACTATGTGCCCACATAGGTTAATTAGCTAGTGGATCCACTTAAGCTAGAAGTTCAAGGTTCTACCTTCGGCAAGTAGGACACCTCTTTTCAGTGTGGGGTAGACACCGAATTTCATGTTGATAGCTCACATGGTCTTACATGTCAGTTAAGGCTAATTCCCCACAAGTAATAATGAACTAAGGTTACTTTAAGAAGTATCGCATATGAGTTCAAAGGTTTTAAAGATGAAGTTAGTTTGCATTGACCATGATTTTATGACTTATGTTTTATAACTCTTTTATATCATGTTTTAGCTTGGTCAATGGAATGTCATGAAATGCAATGTCCCTTTTAGCATGATTTAAATGTTTTATGCATGACTATCATACTTGGTACATTGTTTTGCATTAACGCATACTCTTGCCTAAATTTTTCCCAAATGTAGGGTCCGATATTAAGGGTGCTCAATTTCGTAGCTAGTTGGTGATTTGATTGGTTCCCAAGCTTTGGTGAGTCCTCATTCTTCGAGGACGAACTCTTATTGTTTAGTTCCATTTCTTGTATTTCCCTTTGAACATGATGTATGTGCTAGACCCAATTTCATTTTATTGTATTAAAAGACTATGATGAGATAAGAGTTTAGACTTCTGCTTTTCGTTTTATAAAATGTTTTGGACTTGATTTATTTTTACTCTTATTGTTTTATTTCTTATGTTATGAGATCTAAGCGGCTTGTATGGACTTTTTTGTGGTTCTATATGCCATTTACATCTAGGGGTACCCTGGGTCGTTACAATGTATCTGAGCGTTGATTGAAATTTTTGTAATTTTAAGAAAAAAAAAAGAAGAAAAAGAAATAACATGTATTTAGGATATGAAATATTTATATAAGTTTTACATTTTACTACACTTAGTAGGCGTTTGGCCATGCGATACCATATCACGATATGGTGTTGTGTGATGGAATCAGCGTTTGGACATGCGATTTTACGCTGATTCCATCTCATGATTCCATATCATGAGAGGTGATACCATATTCTCCAAAAACCATGATATAGAATTATATGGTGATTCCATATCATGATTTGAGATTATTTTAATTCAATAATTGATCCATGAGTTTATATTTTTGTTAAAACAACCCCACATTTTATATCTACTAACCATTTGTTTCATATTGTAAAAAAAATTTATAATCACATCATTACTTTTAAATTTATTATTCTCACCAATATAAAATTTATTATTACTTTAAATTTGGTGAATATAAATGATAAAGTAGAAATTCACTTGGTTAATATAAATAAGAACGAAGGGAGTAATACTTTTTCGATTTTTCATAATAAAAAAAAACGTCTTAAATCTTATGACTAAGCATAATATTGATAAAAGACAATTTTCATTGGCGGTGCCGCACTTTCTTAATCTTAGTATTCGCAAAATGTTCGTTCACAGGACTGAAGAATATCAAGTCCAATGGATTGAGGACTTGGGAAAAATTTGATCAATTAGTTATTAATATTTAGTCAAGTGGACTAGTTATAATTTTTTGTTTAAATTTTATTAGAAGTGTTTTTGACTCAAACTTGTGGTAACTTTTTAAAATTTCGTTATTCTATAATATTTAACTACTGATTTTTCTTGTAAATAGTTAGAAATCAATGATGTTTGTTAATTTTTATCTTAGTGTATTTAACTTCTAAGTTAATATTTACTCACTAATGTATGTTTTTTCCCTACTTTATAGGTTATTTGTAAGAGTAGTTGAGAGATATGAGCATATCAAGTATAATTTATGTTCAATTTTTTTAATTAAATTAAAATTAGATGAAACAATTACTTCAGTGGAGAACAAATAACTTTGTAATAATTTATTATGCGATTTTATAATTTTTGTTTATTTGATAAGATTGAATAAACAATTGGAGTTATTTTAATAGTTTTACAACTTATGGGATTTTTATGTTTATGAGAAAATATACAACACAAAAATTCCATATCGCATGTCCAAACAAACCTTCAATTTCATCTCATGATTCCATATCATGAGAGATGATACCATATTCTCCAAAAACCATGATATGAAATCACCATTCATGATTTGAGATATTTTAATACAAAAATTGATCCACAAGTTTATATTTTGTTAAAACAACCCCACATTTATATCTACTAACCATTTGTTTCATATGTAAATAAAATTTATAATCACATCATTACTTTTTAAAATTTATTATTCTCACCAATTAAACAAACCTTCAATTTCATCTTATGATACCATATCGCATGGCCAAACGAGCCCTTATTTAGCCCAGGAATCCAGAGGAAGAATTCTACTGGTCTACTACTTGTGAACTCAAGTGTTTACCCCGGCTAGTCCGCACTCCGAAAAATCCTTCAAGAATGAGAACCAAATCTGTAGTTGCAGCCGGTTTCTTCCTGCTGTTGATCCTTACAACGTCTCGTGGCTTCCAGTCCGACGAGCTTCTCATCGACGATGAAGAGTTTGGTCTCGAAGGTGGAATCCGATCCCGATCCCGTTCCGATCCCAACAACGTCAACGCAGCAACACCTCAGTCGATCCGGAAGAGGTCGGTCTCTGATTCAGATTCAAAGATCCAGTTCCCTCTGGAACATGCCTTTGGTGACTCCAACTTCTCCCCTGCCGGCACCTTTACTGCTCGCCTCAAATCTTCTTCTCATGGTTCCCAGGTGATTGTTAATCACTTACTTTTTTTTCAAACAATTGTTATGATTGAATCCTTAACTATTTTATTTTTTTGCTGAAAACAGATTGATATTAATTAGTACTATCATTTTTTATTTGCTGAAAACAGATTGGTATTAACTAATTTGAAGTAGTAGTATTTCTTGTAACTGTCCTAATAACTAATTTTTATTATAGATATTGAATAATATGAAGTTGCAGAAAACAGATTGATATCAGCAAGTTGTGTGTTTATTTCACAGAACCATAATTTCGATTTGCAGCCTGATAAAAGAATAGTAATGTGGCACCTTATCTTGATAAAAAGCAAAAAACAGTAATGCGACTAACCACTCCTTTAAAATATATATTTGTACACAATAATGACTTCAAGATGTCACTTGCAAAGCACAAGTGTTGTTTGAATATTGATGGGCAGGGCACAAGAGTTACACTTGTTTCTACTCAGAATTATTGGGTGCCTTGCAATAGTATTTAATTCAAGTGTTGTAGTTGGTAAGGAACGATGGCTATTGGTGCACATTTTTGTTTAGGTGGGAATGAGCTTATACTTGGGCATTGTACAAGAAGTATCTGATGAGAACTAGATAAGCTATAGTTGCTTGTCTGACGTTTTACCCTATATTAAGGTATATCATGTATATCTGGGCACATATACTTCTGTTTACTTTAGACTAGTGGGATTTCACTGGGTATGTTGTTGGTGCTCATAATTGTATAAAAATAGTCATTTGTTCGACCTTTAATTACAACAACAACAACGATTATGCCCCAGTCCCAAGAAAGTCGGGCCTTGGTAATATGAATCCTCACTTACCATGTTTCTTCATTTAAATTCATCTCAAGCCTAACATTATACAAAATAACAATAAAGATCCTAGAAGTTTTCTATATCTAGCATAAAAACCTCTAATAAGGTTAAGAAAAACTCCTAGAAAGCATAGGACCTAAAGCAAATGGGCTAACGCGACTAGAATATATTCCTTACTAATTGATATTGCCTATATAGATCGTTTTATTCTATTGTGCCCGGTCTTCCGCTAAGTCTGCATGTTCCAAGAGATTGTAGGTCTTCCGTGACAACTTCAATCCATGTGATTTTAGGTCTATCTCATCTTTTTAAACACCTTCACTCCAAATTCTGATAAATCACTTACTGCATTAGTGGATGTATGTGCAAAGTAATGATGCTTCCTAGGCATTGCAGAGTATTTTGGGGTAAATCACTTTCTACATGATTTTCCAAGAATTCTTAGTCTATTTAGCAATTGCAAAATGCAAGGACAAGAAATACAAAAGACACAATCTCATTGTTAAGCACATAATTTCAAGGAAGATTGTGATTGAATAGTTGAACTAACTTGATTGATGATTGTGCACACTGCTTCATTGTGCTGCCAATGCAAGTATTTTGACTTATAAAAGGGGAAGATTTTACACTTCAAATATAAAATTCCTCCAGAAATCTGTATTCCAAAGTAAACACTGTCTGTTTCGCACATTGTGACTGGAGAATTGTTCCTATTATCATCACAGGTCCATGCTAACTTTTTGTTCTTTAAAAGGGTAAATAACTATGTTCAAAGAAATTAACAAAAAGCAGCACAATTGTCCCAAATTTCTGGTCTAAGTCAATCACATTTCTATACAGAATTTCTAATAAGAAAAGACAAACTGCAGGAAGTTGTTACTTTATTGACTATTGAGGATGGTGGTTAGCTAATATTTAGAAACTACTCCGGACTCCCTTTGCCCCAGATTAATTGTCCTTTTTATTTAATGTTGTTCCATATATCATGTCACTTTCTTAAACAGAAACCAATCCTCTACACTTTCTAATGTTTTTTCACTATTTATTAACAAGATGGTGCTTTGAGCCTGACTTTTATTCAAATGTTTCAAAGCGTTGAATAGTCTCTAGTTTTTTTGTACTGTCATTCTAATATTATAGAACCTGTGATCTTAATAGTCATTCCATATAATTGGACTCATAAATATTGTTGGAGAGAGGATCTAATAGCCAAGGTGAGTGTGAGTCTAAGAGTATGTCTTCTTTGTTGGTTGTCTGTTTTATTACAAGTCATTGCTTTGTCGCTTAAAGCGATGAAGCGAGGGCTTATTGCTTCATGGGTGGAGCCATGCTCTTAAGAGAAGTTTGCGCTTCAAATTGTGGTCCATGCATTGATTTTGATGAGAATTGGTTACCTCTTTGAACATCAGCTCGTAGGAGTAGGTAATATCCGCAATATTGTCTATTGGATGTTGAGCTTTATTATTTTAATTGCAATTTGATGTTTTTGTACTAAATTCATAATTGGCTGACATTATTCTTTTTACCTGTAAACTGTGCACTTCACTTCAAAGAGGCGTGAACTTTTTTTCTCGCTTTCCACTTCAGCTCCCATGGATCTTTTCATTTTTTTTGCGCTTTTATAAATTCTTGGTTACTGTCACCAATAGATTTTTGGAAATTACTTGAGTATGTCTTGGATGACGTTTGACTTTTCATCATCCAGCCAGTAATAGATCTTTGGTACTTTCTGTCACAGATGCAAACGCTGACAAAGCTTCGCTTCTCCAGAAATGCTTTTAATGGAACAGAGAAGGAGGATTTCGAAGTAATTGAATTTTCCATTCGTACAATCATACTGCCTTTGTTGTATTTTTGACTTATCATTGTGAATTTTATTTGATGCAGAAACTCTTGAAAGGTGATGACTTTTACAGAATAAGAGTACCAACCAACGTATTGAACCTTCCTGGCAGAGAATACGTTGTTTCCTCAGTGAAAGCAGTAAGTTTAGAACTAATGTGTTTAAAAGTATCAGCATTGATGTGTATTGTCTGTACATTTGAAATTTCAAAAGGAAGGCATAGTTTTTGGTGTAGACAGTCTCACTCAGTAGAAACTGTGGAAATTCTAGATCTATTAAGCTCCCTATAGAAGACTAGAATAGCTCCAGTTTCTTATGAGTCTTTTGATGTATATATGGTGCAAGTACAACCAATGTACTGAATGATCTTAATTATTGATAGAAATACACAAAGTTTCCAATTTCAAAAAAAAAAAGAAAAAGGAAGGCGTAGTTTGAAATGACATGAATACTTTGCCTTTGTGTGATCCGATGTATGCCCATGCCTTTATGCCTAATGACATTGAATCTTTTTGATTGGTACTTATGTTTCACTACGACATTGAAGTCTTAGGGTTAAAAAGTTGAGTATTGTGGTAAATGACAGAGCAATTGTGTAGCAAGGGCATTTTTATGTGGACACCTTCTTTCAGGGAAGAAACTTTCATGTGATTTAATACATACTTTCTCGAGATGTTTTCTTTTACCTAGCAAGGGCATTTTAACCAGTAAAATTTATTTTTCTGAAAAGAAATTGTTTCATTTATGTCCCAACTTTAATTGCTGTAGTTTCTCAGAGTTTTAATAGAAATATTGGAACTTAATCTTCTTCCTGGTGCTACTGGATTTGCATATGTGCCTTTTAAACCCCGTTGTTTGGGTTGTTCTTCTGAAAGTTTATATTTCCCTAGGAAAATTTATATAATTGTGGATGATAACTTTTAAAAAATTGACAAATCCAAGGTACAAAATAAAGATCAATATGAAGAGACTGGGGACTAAAGACTGAGGTGGCGGAGCAGCCAGACAGCCGTAAATTTTTATAGATTAAAATGATTCATTGAGTAGTCAAGAGACTTCTTGACAACTTTTCCGCAAAGGTGTTCACATCTAGGAAAACAGAGTAATAAAATTGAGAAGAGGGATAGCTAGATCATTCATATTATGGCTCTGTGCACCAGTTTCTGTTTTTGAGGAGGGTAAACATCTAACTCGGGCAAGAATTATCAATTAAAGCTCTGGACTGCTTAGAATTTCTTCTAACTTGGGAGCTCTCCCTTGTCAGACACATCCTTTATACTCATATTTTTATTTTCCGTTTCAGGCAGTTAAATTTACTTTGTGATTTTGACTTATCATTCTTGTATTTTCTTGGAATACTGCAAGCTTGAAATGACATGCTTATTATCTGATTGCTGTTACTATTTTTGCCTCAGAGGTGTCTTCCACGGGATGGTTTGGAGGAGCACTTTGTCATGCATATGGTAATATTCAACCCAATACTTATTACCTAAGTTGACTATGTTGGTTCTGATATAATATGTGTTTTCCATTTCATTTTTCCTTTCGTTCTTCTTTTGTTGTTGGATGGAGCTGGTTAAGAATATGATTTTTTCTTGGATAACAGCATTTACTGCGGCTACTGTACAAAGTAAAGAAAATAAGTTAAACTCAGATTTTCAACATGACTTTTTTCATTTATCTTTCAACTTAGTATGCGTTGAATTTTGTCTTGTCTTCTAAGGCAGAAAGGTGGTTTACCTTGTCTAGTTTAAGTATTGTCTCTTGAATTTCAGTAAAGACATGTGAGGTCAGAGTTTTAGTTACTATGCAAATTAATTAAGTTGATACAGTGTACTCTTTATTGTGCAAATCTTTCATTTTTATCCTTGTCAGGAATTTGACTTAATATGTTCATTGCAGGACGGTGTGAATATTCTGGCTGTTAATTATGGTTCCCCTGGTGCATGCCAGTACCCTCGTCAATTGAAGTTTGTAAGTATGATCCATAACTCTTAGACCCCTATCCACCTTCCAACCTGTCCATCCTTTCAACCCAACTTATATGAAGCATATCACATGTGTGTAATCAGTAGTACCCAAATTTGAGCTTGAAATTTTGATAGGGTAATAGATTGATACTACTCTATTTGAAAGTATTAAGCTGTCAGAATGGTAACTTAAGTACATAGTCTGGACAGTCATCCCAATTTATGTGTTCTCCTCTGATAGCATTTATTAGTATCTAAAGAACTGCTATCAAAAGCTAACTATGGTAATTTCTTTTGGAAAATAACATAATATTTTTAGATTTTCTATGGAAATCAGAGCTTCTTTTTCAACAAACCTCTGTATTTGCTAAACTTTGATTTTTTGTTTTAGACCCAATGATTGAGGCAAAATGATTTTCACTCAACTTTTTTTAAATACTATTTACTAGTGAAGTGTTCTATTGTGGAAAAATATACCATCCCATACAGGAGGTATACAATAGAGAAACTAGACAGTTTGCGATAATCGAGAAATCCCTATCGGGATACATGGTGCATGGTTCAAAATTTGGCGGATAATGAGCCCTACAATATCTTGTATGCAGCTGTGCACCAAAATATGCAAAAAAGCAGGAAAATCTACAGATTGTGGAAGTTTCTTTTCCCATCAGAAACTCTTATTTTTTCTACTGTTTGAACGTTCTACCACAACCATGTTAAGACGTGTACTTAACAATTAAGATTGCTTTATCAAAAAAAAAATTATGATTGTTTTTTTTCCAACATCTGAATGTGTAAAATTTGTCTTCATTTAGAAAATAAAAATATGAAGTTTGATAAAATACAAATTAATCTAATATTTAAAATACATTATATGACGTTTGGTGGTGGTGGCAGTGGCTAGCGGTGGTGGTTGTGAGTGTAGATTGAGGATGGTGTTGTGGGTAGTAGCTAGTGATAATGGTGGTTGGTAGTAGAAGTTGATGGTAGTAGTTGGTGGTGGCAGTTGATGGGTGATAGCGGGAAGTAATGGTCGTGGTGAATGATGACGGTGGTTGGAGATATATAGTGGTGACTGATGTGATAATTGTCGTAGTGATTGGTTGTGGTGTGGTAATGGTGGTTGGTGATGATGATTTTAATTAGTGTCAAATGGTAGGTGATAGATGATTGTAGTGATTGACAACAGTGGTGGTTGTGGGTGGTTGTTGATAATGGTGGGTGATGGCGGTAGCGGTGAATAGATGGAATTGGTGAATTGCCATCTTTGTAGAAATGTTAATGATATTAAGACTTTGTTTCAGATCTTTAATCATTCATGCATAATTCAAAAAAAGGAACTGATACTCATGATCTTGGTCGCATTTCGAATACCCTTGAGGAACTACTGAGGGTCCTCTATTACTTACCTTTTCAAAAGAGGAACTATTGAGGGTCCTCATCTGCCTCATCTGCCTTAGACCTGGTGAGAGGAGTTTTTAGCTTCTAAAGTTCAGTCACAAGCTTCCAGATCCTCCAGTAGACTGTCTGTCTGCCTATCTACACCTCTCGACTTTCCTTTTGAGCCTGCCCAGAAGCAATTTCATCTAATAGCTCTATGGCCTGTTGCATTCCAACTGGGCTTGCCTCTACACAACGAGCAACTCCAGTGCCCTGGATGCTCAAATTGGGCTCGACCTTGGCCCCTACATGTCCTGGGACATGATCCGTCTCAGCCTTGGTCTTGACCTCTAGTGGGGATTCCCTGTCGTCTGCTGCCACCTATGTGCCAACAGTTGCGTCTCCTCTTTCACATGTAGCTGATTCCCTAGTTCTTGCCATATCCATAAAAAGTTATATAAGTGTCTCAGAGTGACTCTACATGCTTCTATTGAAAGAACTGATTTGGTTCTAAAATATCCTATAGCCTCCTGCTTATTAGTCTGGCGCACAATATGCGCATAATGAGACTATACCTGGCACTGCTCCATGATTCATAGGTTCCTATGAAAACATAAGCTCTAATACCACGATTATCACGACCCAATTTGAAGCCATGACCAGCGTCTAGGGACTAAATGCATCTATTGAAAGAAAGAACTGATTTGGTTCTAAAATATTCTGTAGCCTCCTGCTTATTAGACTGGTGCATGATATGCGTATAATGAGACCATACCTGGCACTGCTCCATGATTCATAGAATCCTGTGAAAACACAAGCTCTAATACCACGATTATCATGACCCAATTTGAAGCTGGTCTGCTCCATGATTCATAAAATCCTATGAAAACATAAGCTCTAATACCATGATTATCACGACCCAATTTGAAGCCATGACCAGCAACTAGGGACTAATCATGAAATAAACCTTTTAACCCGTACAACCCGTAAGATGAACAAAGTTTCCCCGAGTTGTAGGGCTGCTACACGATTTCGAAATACAATTATCACAAATATAACTTGAAAACAAGTATCATTAACGTTAGGCTTAATACATACAAACCTCCCCTAACTTGCACATTTATCTCTTTTACTCCCTTTCTTTTGCGGGTATTCTTGTAAACCTCATATACTAATATTCTTTTGAAATGGTCATATATCGATATTTGTAGCTAGTTGTACCTCATGATTTCACCATGTGGCAGTTGTATTTTCCCCAACAATTCAAGTGCATGAACATGTTAAAAACTTGTATTTGATTGAAACCTATATGTTCTTTTACTTTTTCTTTTATCTCTTTGTTTCCCTTCTCAGATTTTTATGGTGCTGGAGAGGAAAGGAATTTCATGTAATAAGATGCTAATCTGATGACTGATATTATGTTTGGTGCTTCTGTTTCAGCCTGCAAAATGGTCCTTTAACTCGCATACAGTCCTAAAACCTACTGAGCAGGCACCCAGGCAAGTCACTGTAATTTTTATTTCCTTTTTCCTTTGACTTTGTATTCTCCTTTTGCATAAAGCAAGTTATCAGATGTAACGAATCAACTTACATAAATATTTTAATCAGGGAGTTCATATTAGCTAGTAATCTCCTTGAGAGAACCTTCAAGTACCTGACTGCTAAGTTGCTCGGAGTTTCCAATAATGTTGGTGCACCCATGTTGGATCCTCCAAAATTGCTTACTTTTGAAGGATTGACGACGCACCCGATGACATTTTTGAAGAGTCCGAGCAACATAGCCTTGTTGTGTGTCACCCTGAACTTGTACTATCATATGAGACTTTTTAAATAAAAAAAATGATCTACTGGTTGTGTTAGTTTTACACCATTTCTCCTGAAAGATTGTTATTTCTCTTCTAGAAAGGCAACCTTATTAAACTTCGAAGGATATTCCTCAGGAACATTATAATTTAAACATTATCATCTTAAAATATTTCCAACGAGTAGTATCTTTCTTATAGTTTCCAAATACTTGGATTTTATATTGAAAAGACAAATATACTTTGGTATCTTTAAAATTGATTGATTTGACTATTGAAAAGCCAAATCTGTCAATTTAGTCCGGTAGGGTGTCACGCCCCAAACCTGCACCCAGTGCCATACCTGACGGAGCAAACCAACCTGCAACTCTCAATCGACTAGTAAGGAATAATGGAAGAACAGAGATGGTCATCTCAGCCATGAAGTCATCGTTATATATATATATATAGGCCACCACTAGACCACTGATATCAACTGACATAGCAAGTGTCACCTATCTACAAAAGCGTCTAAATGTCTGACAACCATCCTATGGTTGGGACAGGGCCCCAACCTACCCAAAAATTTGTATATTCATATGACATCAAAATACTAGACTCAGCTACTCTAGGAAGAGACGGAGCTCACCAGTTCACAGCTGGTAGTCTGAATCTGTCTATGTGGTTTTGTCAACTTGTGAACCTTGACCTGTGGCATGAAACACTACGTCCCCAGCAAGCAGACATTATTACTGAAAAAATGTACCGACTATGTAAGGCAGATAGCATATCAAGAATAGAACTTCCATGGGAAGTACGTATCGTAATGACAACAATGAAATTAGAACTTGAAGGTAATCCATTAACTGCGTATGAATGTGCACAGAAGTTGTTGAAGGTAATTACTAGGAGTGACTTAGGACACTTAAGAAAGTATTAAATTTAGTAATAATGTAATATAGTTTCTCACATGTTCATACATGCTCCAGTTTCTCTCGCAACTGGATGAGCTACAAATTAAACTTTGAACTCTAATAGCAAATTGTTGCTAGTTTGGGACATTATAATCATATTGCATCCACCATTCAACTGTAGAAGAATTATTTTAAAAGTTAATGAGTAATAACTTAAAAGTTTAAGCTCTAAACACAATTAAAAGTTGAAATGCTCACCTGGTGACCTTAAGGTTTCTGCTCGAAGGGCTGATTCCATTCCAAGTAGCCCATCAACTTTCATGTACACACCAGGCTCCTCCCATATTTTGTCTTGCAAATTTGGATCTGGATCATCCTCTCAACACATGCATGATATCCCGCCACACTTCTTTGTCTAAAGTCTTCATGTCATTATTTTATAAAAGAGCCATGGGTTCAAAATATGTCCGGCTGCATGCAAAGATTGATGAAGTTGATCCGTCCACCTTGCATCAATGATCTCAAAAACTCTCCCATATTTCCTGTCATCATAATTAAATGCCTTCTCAATACTTTCTTTGGTCCTATCCATGTCCTCATAGTGTAGCCCATTGGTGGTGTTTTCTCCCCATCAACCAAACAAAGTACACTAACTAAAGGACCACCAACTTATGTGCTTGAACAATGTCATTCCAAAAATATGGACCAATGATGTGTCTCACAACTTCTTTCCCAAGAGCTTCCTTTGCATAGACACTCTCATTCCATTCAGTTGAATAGACACTCTCATTCCATTCAGTTGACATACACAAGGTTTTCAATTTTTTCTTTTGCATATAAAAACTATACAAAGTCAAAAAAGCTGTTGCGAATCTTGTGTTGGCAGATTTTACCAATTTTCTTTGCTCTGTGTATCTCCTCATCATGTTCAACAACAGCGCCCTTTGACTGATATAAGAATATATCTTAATAGCCTTAGCAAAAACTGTTCAAAAACAATTTTTTAGTTAATAAGTATAGAAAATTACCATGAAGATTAAAAAAGAGAACTAAATATCAAGTTGTTCACCTGTAGAATGCATGACTCTCTTGAAAATGTCACCAAACATCAAGTTGATACAGTGAGCAGCACAAAGAGTCTAGAGAATATACATCAACACTTCCTTCAACATGTCACCCACTTTCTTATTCTCACTTGTGTTATTAGTCACAACTTGTACGACATTTTCCTTGCTTATTTTCAAGATAGTTTTCGCAAGCAAGTTAAACATTTTATTATAATCAGTAGAAGAGTCACTAGCATCATAAGATTCAATGAACACTCCCATGGAGAATTCACCAAAACATTAATGCCATTTTCCCATTTTTTGCTGTCCATTTATCCATCATAATGGAACATCCATAAGTTTTCCATTGAACCTTATAATTCTCTACAATCTTGATTGTCTTTTTTTTCTTTTTTGACAGGCAAGTGTTTATATTTCTGCAACACAGTACATGGGTGTACTGAAACCATATTTACGAAAGACCTCAAAATCTACTGTCCTATCCTTATAATGAGTCTAAGACATCAATGATAGGGGCAATATCATTAGAGTTTATCTGGTTACACCAAAAACATAAAGTCAAAATACAATTCATTTTGACTTGTTGTATAGTATTCTCCATATTCTCAAAAACTCTAAGGTTCCTCTCCTTTCATATTGTCCACCATATAGCTATAGGTACAATTCTCCAGTTGTTTCTGTTCTTAGCTTGTACTCCTACTTCTTCCCCACTATGTAATGCTTTTGTGATTTTCCCTGTCATGGACCAAGATATGTTTTTGAGTCTGAGGAATAATCTCCACAGTTGACTTGTGACCTTGCAATGTATAAATAGAAGGACCACAGGTTCTGCAGTTTCCCCAAAAACATCTGGAACATAAAGGGGTCCCCTTTTTCATTTTCATCAAGTTATCTTGTGTCAGCACTACTTCCTTAGCCAATAACTAGACAAAGCAAGCTACTTTGTGTGCAATTTTGGCTTTCCAAATATGTTTCCAAGGCCATCGGAATATCTGCTGGTTTGGTTGGTTCATCTTCCTACTTTGTGTTTCCAAGACAAAGCAAGCTACTTTGGTTCATCTTGTTTGTCTTTTCCACCTCATATTTAGACAAGGAACTTTTACCTCGTGATAGGGTGGGCTTCATTCCTGGGCCATATCAGCCTATTGCCTCAATGAATCTACCAGAACTCCGTGTAATTAACACAATTGAAATGGAGTCCTGCATCATACATCCATCTTGCAAAAGCAGATACAACACGATTCCTTAAAATTTTCCTGTTGCTCTCTAAAACAATAGGTCCACCTTTTCTCTTTTCATTTGGTTTTCGCGAGAAATAGAGATTGAGAGGACCCTTGACATTGCTAGCGGTGGATGATCCACTTCCACTAGTTGAAGGGCTCTTTGACATTTTGAGGGAGGCCCCATTGGCGTACTCACTTCAACATCATCAACAAGATTAATTGTGGATGATTCATGGTTCATTTGAGTTTTAAACTCTGTTTTTCTTGTAAAATGCTCCCTGATTTCTTATTTCCGTGAATTTGTCCCAGTACTTTTCTTGAAGTAGCTAGAACTTACTTTGAATGTTAAAGCTAGTCAGTAATAAAAATGTTTTTGGAACAGAACACCTATATTTTCAGAAGCTGTTATTGGAGAGAATGCAGAGGGTGACGAAGTGCAGCCTCCAGAGAGATCTTTCTGGGCTAAATATGTGAGTCTGATTGAATTAGTTTCTTGTAAATATTTCCCGTACTCATCTTTTACTCTTTTCTTGTGATTTTTATTTCAGTGGATGTATTTGATCCCTCTTGGACTCATTGTTATGAATGCTATGACCCAAGCTATGAACATGGCTGAAGAACAAACTAGTGGACAAGCAGGGGCTCAAGGACAACAGGCAATTGGTGCTCAACGTGCACAAAATACTGTGGTACGAAGAAGATGATAGGTGAGTAAGTTGGAAGTTTATGCAAGTACTTCTGTGGTTTCTCTTCATTATCGATTTATACTTCCGTAGAATCTGAACCCAGGCCCCGTCAATTTCCTGGTTGCCTTCTTCCAGAGAATGTGGCCTCACACATTTTAATTATAAATTGTATTAGCCCTTCTTAGGTGTCTAAAAATAATGTTTAAGTAGTTTTGACTATATTTAAATTACAGCAACATGTTAATCTTGAAGTATTTTTTCAATTTTGTTCATTGTTTGAGTTTTCTTCTAGTGTCTTTTATGTAACGACTAGTTGTCTCAACAAGCTTTGAGTTCCAAAAATTGAATTTTACTTTGAAATGGACAGATGCAAAAAGAAAAGCACAGTGATTGCTCATCTGAAACATTGACCAACTTTTGTGGTTGCAGTGTGCACTTGTACTTTCTTCTTGTACGAGACAGCACAGATGTCTTAATTGTCTTTGATGCTTCAATTTCTGTTTATTTCATCTCTCTGGAAAGATAACATATCTTTATAGGTCGTTTGAACTCTTCTAGTATCTGTTTTTAGAGTTATAATGGTGCAGGGTCATGTCTGTTTTGATTTCCCTTTTGAGAAAGGATTGATGATTGCAATTAGAAAGATAGGGAGGGCATGGAGTCTGTACTGTTTTATCTCCGTGTATGGTGTAAGGCCTGAGCTTATGCATTCTGCTAGTGGAGCTTGGTTGAAACAAAAAGAGGGTTTTGCGTTGAAAACATTTTCCTTGTGCAAATGCAGATGATGCTTCCTCCTCCTGTCGAAGACCCATCTTTTCTTAGAAGAGAAATCTTCTCAAATTCCGTTCTTGGTAGGAGTTAATCATCATTTGCATTCTACAATTGGTGCTTTATTAGAAGCAAATAGTTGATTCTGGCATTCACTTTTTTTTTTGATAGTTATTCCTGCATACACACAGGTATACGTGATCGATAATCAATAAGTAGAGGTTTGGGCTTATGATTATTATTATCTATTAACTAAATTAAGCTATTACAAATTATTTCCGTGAGTATGATTGGCACACACTACTACAATAAACTAAATAGTTAAATTCTAAAAAGGCTTTGGAATTTGATGACACGAGAGATTGTAGGTTATGTCTCTGCTAACAATCATATTCAGATATTCACTAGAATTGACTAATCTATTTGGTTTTGGGAAAAGGCTCATAAATACCCTTCTGAGTCTAAAAATATCCATGTGGTTTATTTTTGGGTTAAAAAATACCCCTCAAATTAACACATATATTGAGGTTAAATTTAATTCTTTAAAAAGTTAAGTGGTGCTGAATTTTTATTCTAATAATTAAAACTACTCAAATTGTAAAATCCAAAATCACAAGACCTGCCCCCATGGAAAAGTACTGCCATACCTTATTAGCACATTGGTTCTTCAGAAAAAGATGCTGCATGGTTTTCACTCGCAAAATTAAACAACGGGTTCTAACTCCTACGGTATGTTTTAGAACCCAAATCCATGTGTTTTTGTCGTCGTTGGAAGGATTCACATGACATTCCTTCTTGTACTGTCTAGGTGAGTTTCTTTTTCCTCTTATTTTTACTGATTTGGTTTCTCAAAATCCTCCATTAAATTTCGCATAAAGCTTTCTTAATTTTACCCTAGTTGCATTTTGATCAATTTTTTTAAGACAACTTTGTAATGAACTAGGTAAGAAAAAAATGTCTTCTTGTCAATGACTTTCTTAACACTAAATTTACCTACAAATAGATGATCTTTTTTCTTCTTTTTTCTTTTTCCTTTCAAATAAATGTGAATGTACAACTAGTGCTGAAAGAGTTTCTGAAAGAATCAAAGTTTACTATAAACTTTTCCAACTATCAAAATAAATTGATGTGAAAAAGCCAAATGATTTATCGTTTAATTTTGAGGGTGGAAACGAGATGGTCATGGTTTTGGGTTTGGTGGGATTTAATTATTTTGAATTAAAATGTAGTACTCATTAAAAAATGTCATATGACTTTTTTTAAGAGTTATATAAAATTTATGAGCCTTTTCTCATAGGTTAAAAGTATTCATGAGCTTTTTCCCTTTGATTTATTGCTTGATAAAATTAATATTGCTCGTAAGAATTTTTCAAGCCCTTACTTGCCTATTCAAGTTAAACCTAATGCCTATATTCCTATGGAATTAGTATTATCAGGAAAGCATTATAATTTCCTGTAAAAACAATAAACCAATACAATTAAGTATATTTATGTCTTAATTCAGAATTTGTTCTCCAACGTACAGGTTCAAGAACTCGCCTTGTTAAATTGTCGTCTATGCAATCTAGAATTTCACTTTAAAATTTGATTAGATTTGAAGATAGTATTTAATTATTGGTTAGATAATCAAATGACCAAGAGAAGAATTACATAAATAAACCATTGCGATAAATCGAAAACAAATCAAGCCTCAAACTACAACAATTATGTAGTACCACAACCCTAGAACTAAAAACCTATAATATAAAAGAGAGAAAATGTCACGACCCAGGGGTATACCCTAGATGTAACATGGCGTACTTGACCCCGAAGGAATCTCATACAAGAACTTAGCATATCATAACATACAATAATAGAAAAGTACGGAAAGTTTAAAACTTTTATTTACAATCGAAGTCTTTTTCATAAAAGCAAGCAAAAGTCTTTACTACACTTTTGTCTCAAACCATCTAAACTCAACTTGAATTAAAAGCTTTGGGACACAGCCCACACGATAGTCTCAACATGAAAATAAAAGACAAAGGAAATAATGGGTTTGTCCTCGAAGCTATGAGGACTCACCAAATCTTCAACTCCTTTGCTCCTTAGAAACCTATCCTCCAAGAATGGAACTCAATCTCCGAAACCCCACATTTGATTAGAATGTAGGCAAAGTATGCGTTAGTACAAAATGTACTAAATATGTTAGCTAGCATAATCATAAGAGCATAAGACAAGGGTTAGTCAATATATGACATAATCCATAATCATATGAAATACTTCATAAAACATCAATTATAAGCATGAGAGACAATATCATAATAATAAGCAAAGTCTCCAACATAAGCATTATTCAACGCTTAGTCATCTATACCATAATAAAACTACTCTCAGGTAACCTGAAAGCATACTTATGCAATGCATGAATAACATCCCATAATACCACCCAAACTAAGTATCCCTCTTTGGTCATATTAAACATAGTTTATATACATGGTCATGTCTTTAAGCTTTTCTACCATAAGGGCATCATACTCCTACGTAACCTCAAAGCACACTTGTGCAATGCATGAAAGGCATCCCATACTACCCTTCACACTAAGCATAACCTTGAAGTCATCCTAGTCATACTTACCCTCCTTTGGTCTCATTAGTTGCTTACTTCATATAGACAAGGGAACTATCACCTTTAGTCAATCATATCATGGAAGGCAACAACATATTTATCTCATAGGTCACCATAACATAAAAGGAACACATCATAGATACCTTCAAAGCATACTTGTGCAATGCATAAGTAAGATCCCATACTCTTACCCATACCAAGTAAGGCTTCTTAAGTACCCATAGTTCATAACTACTATTCTTGTTCATACTACTACCCTATTGGGGACATAAGCCTTAACCGACATAGACCATGTGAGCTAACATAGAATCCAATATTTACCCCACACCGAAAAAGGGTTGCTCTATTTGCCGAAAGTAGAACTATACTCTTAGTTTGGGTGAAACCAATAGCTAAGTAACCTATGTGGGCACATAGTTATGGGATAAGGAGATTGCTTCTAGAAATTCGGACTCAACTATGGTAGAAGGTTTCCATCTCATGAGATACCTACTTTTGGGAACCCAGACTCAACTAGTGTAAAAGGAACCCATTTGGAAAGCCGGACTCAACTAGTGTAGAAGCTTTCAAGGGAAGCCTGACTCAACTAGTGTAAAAGCTTCCATCTCATATTCATATCCACTCGGTGCTAGGCATTAAGTCCAATTGAGTTCACATTAAGTCTTGACTTAAGTTCATATTTGTAGAAGAATGTCTTGACACTCAATCCAACATAACTCATACTATAGCTCCTTAGATCATGCGTGAGAAACTATTACCATCCATGACCTATTTATGATGGCTCTAGAGCCTTTGATTCAATTAGGTGAGACTAGTCTTCCAACCTTAGAATCACTGCATGTGACAAACCTTTCACATTATATCATATTCATGCATGAGTGTGTATATGGAATTAACCTTTCAACAACACTCTAACTAGGTCATGAACAAATTCATTTACTCTCAAAGTGTCTCTAAAGCATGTACTAAACTTCATACAACATGCACACTATCATATCTTACCCCTTTCTAAGTCAAACTCATATTAAATCAACATATCTAGAATGACTACATTGGACATGGATATAATCATAATTCAAGTTGTTCAATTACTACAAGCCTAATCTCATACTTTACCTCCTTGAGGTTCAATTCTTACTTTCCATCATCCCACCTAGGGTCCAAGCACTAGACATGGATATCTTCCTAACCCATGTGATTCTATCACTTTATGCATCCAAACCTTCATGAGGTAAATTAGGTGGTAAGGTCTTACCTAACCATTCTATCTAATGGTCTACCATTATCTCATAAGCTTCACTCTTGGAGCCTTAACATACATAATTCATCATATTGGATTTGCCCTCAAAACCCTAGAACTATCACTATGTGAGAATCCCTTTCATGTTAAGTTCATACTCATGCCTAATATCATGTCTAGAATTCTACATTAGACAAGGATATCATCATGACTCAAGTGATTCTATCACTTCCTACCATCTATTATTCATAAGGTGAATTAGGTAGATAAGGGTCTTTCATCACACTTCTATTCGCATACTTGATAAAGTTGAAGGTTCAGATGATTTGTTGAAAGGGATGAAAGATGACTTTTCATCATTGAACAGTAAAGTGAACTTCCACGCCGATGCCATCAAGACACTTGAAGGACAACTGAGTTTATTATCATCTCAATTGAAACAAAATATAACGATGGAAGATGACGATAGAGGGCTGGATGTGGTTACTCGTAGAGGAAAGGTGGCAATAGGTAATGTGATGGGAAATGAAGATGCTCAAAAGCATGAAGAAGGTAAAGGCATGGACGAACAAGAGTTACTTATTCATTGAAACCTTGCCAAAGAACTACAAAAGGAAGTGGAACAACACGTTCAAATTCCAAAAGTCATGCAACCTTTACCCAAAATACCTCCACAATTTCCCCAACGCTTAAAGAAGAAGAATGAAGATGAGAAGTTCAAGAAGTTCTTGTCAGTGTTCAAGACACTATCAATCAACCTCCCCCTTGTGGAAGCATTGTTGAAAATGCCAGGGTACGCCAAGTTCATGAAAGAGTTGTTCACAAAGAAGAGGAGTTTGGATTTTGAGACAATTGAAGTTTCCCATAGTTGCAGTGTAATTATGACTAAGGAGCTGATCAAAAAGAGAGAAGATCCTGGGGAATTCACCATTCCGTGCACCATAGGCATTCTCCAATTCGCTAAAGCTTTATGCGACCTAGGAGCAAGCATCAACTTAATGCCCTATGCGATATACAAACAACTTGGGTTGGGTGAACCGAAAGCAACCACAATGAGACTCTTGATGGCAGACCGTTCAATCAAACATCCCGTGGGGATACTTTATGACATCTTGGTGAAGGTCGATCAGTTCATTTTTCCAGCTGATTTTGTTATTTTAGATTGTGAAATAGATGTTGAAATTCCCATTATTTTGGGAAGGCCATTCTTAGCAACCGGGAGAGCATTGGTGGATGTTGAAAGTGGAGAATTGAAGTTTCGGGTGAACGAAGATGAATTAACGTTTAATATTTGCAAATCCATGAAACACTCAGGTGATATTCATGTGGTGTCTACTGATGATATTATCGATGAGGCAGTGGCTAGTGTAAGCCATTTGATGTGCATGAATGAACCCCTTGAAGTCGTACTTGCTAATTATGATGAATCCAAAATTCAA